TATTCTGCGTATTTTTCTAGGATTTTTCTGGAAGTCTGTGTGCTTCCATTTTTTGAATCTTTGAACAAAATTCACAAATGGGATCACACTCTGAATACTATTCTGCATCTTGCCATTTTCGCTTAATTTATCTTGGACATCCTTCCAAATCCGTAGCTTAATTCTTCCTCATTCATTTTAATGGCTCCGTAGTATTCTAATGAATACATGTGTCTCATTTATTTACCCTGACCACATTTAAGGGGGAAATGCCTTTTAAAAAGACAAGAAATGTATGTTCAGTGTAGAACAATTAGAAATTGTAGATTAATAAAAAGAAAAAAAAATTACACATAATTTCTTCATCCGGAAAAAGCCTTTCTCTCTATTCCCCGCCACGTCCCCCCCCCGAATGTATTTTTACAAATAGTCCATCTACCTTCTTTTTTCTTAAAATGAAGTCATACTCTACATAATGTTTTGCAGCCTGCATATTTCAGTTGGCTTGATTGTTTTAAAGATAAAAAAACTATTTCCCATTCTAGCCTTTTTCTACACTGCAGGTTTATCTTCTTAAAAAACAGAGTGCTCAAAGCTGGCAGCTGGCAGGGCCTCGTTGCCTCAGTTGGAGCTCCTGGTCCTGCCTGAGGTCCCCTGCTCTCTGCCCAGTGGGCCACAGGGCTCTGCTCCTCCCCGATGTCCTTTGTGCCAGCATACTAAATGCCTCAAGCACTCTGTGTCCCTTGGGGCTCCCTACAGTGAACCTGCTTTTTGCTCTAATGGCATCCATTTCCCCTGAGTCTGATAACTCTGAAACCAGCAATCTGCCACCTGTCTTCCCAGACCAGGCTCAGATGTCACTTTCATCTTGATTTCCTACACTCCCCTGAGCCCACCTCACCACCCCTCCTTAGGGCTCCGGGAACAGCACGTACATTCCACCTTTAAAGCATTTTAAACTGGTCCTGAGAACCTTGGTTTACACAGAGCAGTGTGTGAGTCCTCTGAGGTCAGAGGGGTCCACACCTAGATTTTGGCACAGAGGAGGTGAAAATCAATGAGGACATCATTATTACCATTGTAGGAATGGTTGAATGAAGACTACAAGAGTTTGCAAATGCAGAGGCTGTGATGCCCTGACTAACTCTGGGAAAACCAGTGCTGTGAATAATTTAATTTTATGGTGAAAGGAGGATTGTATTTTGGGAGGCGTTGTCATGATGCACTGAAGCTTGCTTCTGACAGCTCCTCTGGTCGCCTCAGTGCACCTCTAACAGATGAACTTGAAGTGTGATCTGACGGGGTGATTTCTCCGAAAGAGCCACCTATTTCTGTCATCCTGTGTTATACCAAGCTGTTTCCTTTTGGTCTCTAGATAAACAAAGCTGCTTCCTGCTGAGGGTCCAGATAGACTATTCCTGAAGGCTGTGGTTCCAGCTCAAAGCAGGGATGTTGATCTTGGTGCATATTTATTTTCCTTCCTAGACCACTGGGCTGAGGAGCAAGCCTGGCTCACTGCCCTCGGTTGGGTTCTCCGGAGGCAGAGGCTGAGACCGATTTGGGGCAGGGGGCGGGAGTGAGATGGCAGAGGGAGAAGTGGAGTCACGCTGCAGCCCCGCAGCACTTTGGCCGGTCACGCAGAGTGCTCTGGCATGAGCTGTGCCCATCGCAGCCCTTCTGCTCACACTTTGCTAAGTCACCAGCTATGGCTGCCTGGAAAACACATCACCTCATGAGGGTGGCCTGAGGCTGGAGGCTGGCTGCGAACCTCACTCCCCACATGGGCAGCTAGTCCATCCTTCATGGGGATCCCGGTGTTGACATGTACCGATCTACCATACTCCCCATAGCCAAGCAACCACCATGACCTGTCATTTCTTGCTCCACATAATCTCTCACATCTGCCTCTGTTTCTGCATCTCACTTGCCAGTACCTTCATGAAGGCCCTCATCTTCTCTCTTTGGTTACTGAACTAGCTTCATCGTTGTTTTCCCATACCCCATGCTGCCCTTTGTGACAGTGCTGCCAGAGAGCTCTTGAAAAACACACAAATCCAGTCACCTCACTCCCTGGCTTAATGCTCCTTCGGAGGCCCACAGAGGTCTCCTGATGAAGTTCAAACCCTTTAGTCTGGATTACAATGCATGCACGGTCCTCACTTCCCTCTCCAACCTTACCTATCTCCTCCACCCCCCCCACCAGTTCCCACCCCAGTTTATGTTCCAGTTCGCTCAGCCCTTGCCAGTCTCCCGTCTTTCTTGGCCTCTGCTCAAGATCCTGGCTCTGCTGAGAAATATACCTGTGGTCTTCCAGCATACGGTTAGAACCCAGAACTCCGACTGTGAGGAATTGGGGAAGGGGAACAGCCATGTTGTTGTCCTTCAGTCTTAGTTGTGGAGGGCGCAGCTAGCTCAGCTCCAAGTCCAGTCACCATCTGGCCTCCCGTGGGCAGCTTGCAGCCACTCAGCTCAAGGTGCCGTGTTCCATCTTAGTTGTGGGTGGGCATAACCCACCATCCCATGTGGGAGTCGAACCAGCAACCTTGTTGTTAGGAGCATGTGCTTTCACCACCTGAGCCATCCTGCCACCTGTTGGCAGCTCAGTGGTAACTCAGCTCGGGCGCAGCTCACTGGCCCATGTGGGAATCGAACCGGTGACCCTGTTGCTCAGAGCTTGCATTCTTAAACAACTGAGCCACTTGGCTGGCCCCTGGTGCTACTTTTTAAACATACATAATGTTTGTTCCAAAAATGCTTCTCTTGATTCTCTCATTCACCTAAAAAACAATTTGTTTTTAATTAGCTGAACCAAAATGTAATGTAATGAGTAAGCACACAGGTTTGATATTAGAGTGGAATCCAGTCCCGTGCTCCAACACTTAAGCTGTGTCACAGTGGGGAACATACTTTCCCTTGATAAATGTGACTTTCTCCATCCATCTGTGCAGTGGAGACAGTAGTAATATCTTTCACATAGGGTCATTGTAACAATGAAGTGAGAAAATTCATGGTAAGTCCTTAGTACAGTCCCTGGCACAGATGTGCTCACTAAATGTAAGTGCTGCCTATTAGAGGCTAGATACTAGACATTGTGACATAATTAAGATAGTGTCCACAGCCAAACTGTCCACAGCTAAGGGCATTCAAAGCAGACTAGAGGTTCTCCTTGCTCTCCACCTCAATGCTTGAGCATGTCAACTTTATCCTCTAGACCAGCACTGTCCAATAGAAATATCATATGAGCAACATATGCCATTTAAATTTTTCCAAGAGCCACATTGAAGTAAAAAGAAATAGGTGAAATTAATTTTATTATGTATTATTGAATGTATTCAAAAATTTCAACATGTAATTGATATAAACATTATTATCAATATTCATTTTACTGGATTGAACCTTTGACACCAGTGTGTATTTTCAACTGATTACATCTCAGTTCAGACACTAAGTTTCCATTGTAAGGACTTGATTTAGATTTCTTTTTCTTTTTCGTTATATTTTTTTTTCTGTTTTTCTTCTTTCTAGATTTCTTAAATTAACATTGAAAAGTAGATTTGCAAACCCAAGTTGTTCCAAACATACTTGAAACTTTTTCAGGGACTGAATTGTGTATCCGTTTTTAAATTTAAAGTGAAATAAATTAAAATTAGGTGAACAATTGAGCTCTGCAGCTACTCCAACTTCTTGAGATTTCAAACGCTCAATCCACTTGTGCCTAGTGGCTACTATTCTCGGACAGTGAAGCTCTAGAAGCCATTGCAGTGCTTTCCGTCTCCTTCCTCTTCTTTTTCTTAGCTAAACTTGTTTTTTCAAATTCAATTATAGAAAGATGCTTATGACTGAAAATGGATGAAAATAGTGTGGAGGTGCTTTGTTTCCAATTAGGGAAGGGTGGTGAGTCACTCACTCTCCTCCTCATGCCAACCCTCACCCTGACCCTCCACCCCTAGGAGTCCTCTCTGCCCATCCCTGGAGCTCCAGGGAACAATAAGCAAGTGGTGGGTATCTTAGTATGGAGCACACTGCTGACCACACATTCAGAATCCGAGAGTGTTGGAGCTCAGAGGGATCTTAGCATATATATGAGTCTGCCCCACCCCTCCTTGCTCTGCAGAAACACTTAATATAAATTCCTTGGCAATGGGGAGGGGGAGTACTTAGCTTCTCTAAACACCTGAGAACAGATGGATCATTTCATTCTGTTCTGACTTACATAGCTCTCTCTGTCCTGAACTCTTCTCCTTAAGTAGGTTGGGGGCAAAGACCACCGTTTACAGCTCCACAGCACCCACACAAAGCAAGACAATCAATAAATTCTTAACTGAAGGCCTTTCTGACTGCAGGAATTCAAGGTCACTCGAAATACCAGGGTCGCTGCATTGCACAACCCCAAAGAACACCATTCAAATTGTATTCTGTGGTTGTGCAAGTAGCAACCTTGTCAAGTTTGCAAAGTTTAGGCTGGGCTTTCTTTTCCAACTGAGGAAAACTTTTAAGAAAAATTTTATTGGAACAAAATTATCCTCTCCCTTATCCTCTGATAAGAAGCAACTAACCACACGAGTAGATTTTCTCAAATTCCTTAGGAATATATGTTCATCAGGGAGCATGTATGGATGTGGGAACACATGTGTGTGTGTGGGGGGGGCAGTATGCTGGTAGAACTGCTGTGTTAGAAGGCCCATTTGAAACAGTTTGACCATTTTAATCTAGCCTTCAAGAGGCCACTGTGTTTATGTCTTTTGAAATTTCCTATTAATGGAATGTTTCTCCAGTTTGAAAGATGCCTTAGAGCCCCTGGCTTTGTAAAGCACCCCAGAGCGTGATTCATAAGAACTAAGAACATATACCTGTCACCGAATGAGCAAAGGGACTCTGTGGCTGCATGATTTCTATCTTTGTGAAGCTGAGGAAATGCAGAGGAAACAGGAGGAAACAGAGGGGTTCTCTTAAGAAAATCCTAGGTCTGCTTTTGTGTTTTTCAAACTGACGAGTGTTTGTTTTTTCTCATGTCTACCCAGGGAACCAAGTGCTGCCTCCTGGAGTATCCCTTGGAAACGGGCTCACACCAGAGGCTGCAAGGGACCTCGGCCTTCCTGCTGGCATTGCGGTGGCAGCCTCCCTTATTGATGCCCATGCAGGAGGACTAGGTAATCTCTTCCTCGGTGTCCACGACCAATATTCACATGGGCTATTCCCCAGAGCTCAAGACACTCTTTTCCTGGTTTTAAAGCAAAGCTCAAAGGCTGGTGATTCAAGATACAGTAATGAAAAGTCTTTTTACAGTTAGGCGTTTGGATAGAATTACAGAACTTTATCAAATATGGAATTTATTTATAACATTATTAATTTCTGCATACAGAATGATAGGGGGAAAAATGATCTGAATCAATATCTGGATGGTTCTTTGGTTTACTGAAAATTTGAAAAAGATATGTTCAGGGCCAGCTGAGTGGCTCAGTTGGTTAAGAGTTTGCTTAAGAGCACGGGCTCTGAGCAACAGGGTCGCTGGTTCAATTCCCACGTGGGCCAGTGAGCTTCGCCCAAGCTGCTTCTGAGCTGAGCTGCCAACAGGTGACAGGATGGCTCAGTTGGTGAGAGCACGTGCTCCTAATGACAAGATTGCCTGTTGGATGATGCGCTATGCCCACCTGTGGCTGGGACTGAACTAGGCACCTTGAGCTGAGCTGCGCCCAGATGACTCAGTGGACTCTTAACAGCAAGGTTTCCGGTTCGACTCCCACATTAAAAAAAAAAAGAAAGAAAAGAAAAAAGTTATGTTCATATATGACAATGGTGTATTTACCTGTACAGTTTTTTTCTAAAGGAACTCCAAAACTCTTACAAGTCTAATTGATTTATTTCCATGATATATTTGGCTGGTATCTTATATCCACTTACTTGAGTATAGTCTTGATTTCACCTTCTGAGTAACTCTGAAACATAGCATTCATGTATTCATTATTTCAAAGATCTATTGAATATGTGCTATGTCTCAATCATAGTGCTAGGGGACAGTGAACTTAAAACAAAATCAAGGTCTCTTCCCCAAATGTTAATGGAAAGGCAGACAGTGAGACAGGGATTACAGTAAAGAGTGATGACTCTAACCTCTTCTTCATCCTTATTGCATTTTTGGTTTTGTTTTTGGTTCAGATTCTCAATATGTCTCTCTTCAACTATAGCCATACCTTTTTTCCTTAATTCTTTTTAACAGTGTTTTTTTTAAAATTATGGTTCACACCTTGTGAGATCACACCTCGAGTAGATCATGACCATTGAATTTTCAGAATAGAATGAACCAGAGTAGAAAACATCCAAGTGCATCTTACATGACAAGCTTGGCTTTGTGTGCTGTTTCCATTGTATGTGTATGTGCATGTATAAACTGGGCCGTGATGAAAATGAATTTCTCACCATGGATCATAGTCAGAAAAACGTTGAAAGCTATTCTAGTCCACACTTCATATTACTGCCATGAATTATCTTTCAAACACACGCATGGAATTGTATTCCCACGACTCTGTCCGTACATTATACCTCTGTGTCTTTGCACGTGTATGCTCTTCCCAGAAGATTGGTCCTCCACTTCCTCCCATGGCTAACTCCGCTGTATCTTGAGGACTCACACCAGATGCTTTCTCCTCTGCAGAGCCTTCCATGGAACGCTCAGATTTATTTAGGAATTCTCTGAGTTGTACTCCTTTCAGTACCGTTGCCTACCACTATTGAAGAAGTGATCACGTTGTGTTATAATTACTGATTTATTCACTTGTCTTTTTTGTTAGACTAGGCACACCTTGAGGGCAGGGGATTGTATTATGCATTTTGTATCACCTGTGCTGAGCCCTGTGTCTGGTTCCTGTAGGTGCTTTATAAATGTATTACATGAGTGAAGTCACATCAAGGCAAGACTAAGGTGAAATGGCCTTAACCTGTAGAGTGAGAGTTAATCCATTTCCTTATGTGGCAGTTTATTAAACCATATCTTGTTCTTCTACATAGTCTATGGACTTTCAAAGCAGGGTAGTTCTCACTGATCTATGAACCTGTCTGTCTTGTTCATCCTTACCTGTTTAGGATCTAACACAGTGCCTGAGAAATAGTGACCAGCCAATGATAACGCGTGGGGTGAGTGAATGGTAGATAATAGTGATGATATGCAAGGATGTGTCTCTCCATTTTCAATGTGAGTAGTGTGTGCTTTTGATTTGAATGTCAAGATTTTGGATTTAAGTACAGGCACAGAGAGAGCTTGTGATCTAGGGGGTTCCTGCCCCCCAGTAATCCTAAGATTTCGTATCCCGTTTAAGACCAGGGATGCATTCTCCATCATGCTTTTTCAGTGCTCTCTGAGACGACAGTCCCAATCATCCACTCCTACCCAGGGGACCGGCCCTTGCCTTGGACTACCTTACTCTGTAAGAAAGAGGAGCTGCACCTTGGGGGGCTTCAGGGGGGCTTCCTTGTCATTTTCCCAGACCTCCCTAAGGGGCGAACCAACACACTTTCTCACTGAGCCCTCCCAGAGGGGAAACTGCTTTGAAATGTCCCCTGGTACTTCGAGACACTAAGAGAGTTTTGGGGAAATTGCACTGGGAAGGGGATCCAGGCCATTAAATGACTCCACTTTTTTCCTAAATCAGACAGACATTCAGTGACAGAAATTTTACCCTTAGCCGCTTTCACTGAGGCCTCTTGTTCCCTTTAAAATAGAAGTGCTCCTAAGTTAGTGAGTTCCCCTTGTATTTTTTTCCCTTGTATTTTCTAAAAGTCAGTTCATTAAGTAGAAAGATAGAAGGAGGACCTTGGATTCTTAAAGGGCTGAGTGTAGGGACCAGCCGTGGCTCGGAAGGGGACAAGAAGGGGATTCATGGTGACCGTGGGTCAGAAAAGACCCACGCAACCATCCTGACCAAGTTTTGTCTTTCTTATACTTTCTTCCCCTCCATCCAATGGCCACTTCAGGATTCCGTGTCCGGGAAGGGAGGAGGCCTGGGAGCAAGCCTACCCTCTCGTTTGCCACCCTGCCTCCGCCCCTGCCAGGATGTGGGAGAGAACAGAGGCCTGGATTCAAGTCTTGAAAAGATCCTCCGCCCGCCATGTAGTCACTAAAGTTATGGGTATATACTGAGTGCTTGCAAACCTGGCAGGTACTGGTCTGGGCACTGGGTAGTATCAGCAGCGAGTAGCGCAGACCAAGTCCCACTCCTTTTGGAGAGAAAATTCGGGTCGCTGTCCCCTGGCCTGTAGGTCTGTACCTTAATAGTATTGTTTTGAGATTACCTGTGTACCCTGGGCCAGATATCATCCCTCTTCACATGTCTGTTTTCTCTCCTGTAAGAAGAGATAATAATGCCCCCCTCACAGGGTTGCTAATGAGAACTAGTGATGTAAATATGTAAAGTGGCTGGCATAGCATCTGACACATAGGCACATAGCATTGAAGCAGTTCTCTTTGGCTTTCTCAATCTAGAATCACAATGCCTGATACACAGTAGGTGCTTTATAAATTAAAGTTCTCTGAGTTACTGTCCTGGTAAGGAGGGTACAGTGAAGCTCTCTTCCCTTTGGATCGGCGGTTGGAGAAGAGCCTTAGACCCCTGGACGCCATCAGCCTTGCCATGAACCGGACCCTGGTTTTCTTTCGCTGCTTCTCTAACAGAATGCAGGATTCGCTACTTTAAGATACTGTTCTAGCTGGAGGTCTGGAAACAACCTCAAACAATGGTTAATTGAACTCCATGCTAAGACGTCACTGAATGTCAGGTCAGAATCCAGCTTTGGAGATCAGGCCTGAATACTATCCAGGCCTCGTGCAAACAAGCCCTGACAGTTATGGTCCCTTCAGTTACTGACCTGGCGTGACCTTCCTCGGACCCCACATTCTGACTGGTAAGAGGGGTCGGTACTCTGCTTTGGAGAAATCCTCCTGGCCTGTCGTTCTCAAGGGAAGCCTGGACTGGAGGACCAAGACGAAAGAAGCAAGTAAAACTCCACTCATGCCTTTCCCACCTCTGAAAAAAGAGGCGGAAGGACTTTGTGGGAATAAAAACCAAAGATAAAAGCACATTTTGTTCTTAAGGTGCTGACTGGTAAGCTCTCCAGCAGACAGCCAGAAGATAGGAGTAGCTATGTTTGCTCTCTGTGGGGGTGCTTCTGGCCAGGACTCCTGCTGCTGGTATTTTTTTCTAGCTTATAAAAATAGTGTTAACTTTGTTCCAGGTCTGTTCTTGGCTGCAGCACCCGAGCTGTCCTGAAAGGCAGTAACAGCCTGATTTCGAAGGCTCCTCTCCTCTTCATTGTTCTTATTGATCAGACAAACTTCTAATAGTCTATCAAATCTTGCATCGGGTGGCATCTCCTCTGGGAGCCTTCTCTGACTGCCCCAAGCTGACCTAAGCACACCTTCCTCTTTGCTCTTGGACTTGCCTTCGTTACTGGACACATTATTGAGTTCTGTCTGTACAATTTTGTCTCATTTACCAGTTTGTAAACTCTGAGAGAAAGCACTCTGTCATTTCATCCATACACCCCAGCATCCAGCACTGTGCCTTGCACATGGAGGGTCCTTCATTTGTGCATATTTAGCGAATGAGTGAATGAATGGTGTTCCTTCCATGAGGACATGATATTACAACTGAGACATGCAGTAAGCAGTATCCTCACATTACAGAAGCAGTTGTCCCTCTATCGTAGGTATTTCTGGCTCAGTTCTCCATGAAGCAGAAGATTGTGGTTTGAGCACTCCCTGACCCACTCCTAGATGTGTAGGAATCGGTGTCCTCTATGCTCCCATCATGTTAGCAGGTGTTGGCGAAGATTCCAGATACTGGATTTCTTGCCAGATGTTGAACTGGGTTAAATTGCTCATCTGAGTTGCAGAGTCAAATCGAAATGAAGAGTTTGAACTTTCTTTTTTTCTCTCCCCACCTCCCTCTCTTTTAATGGCAGAATTGGTTTAACCAGTCTTCAAAGAGTTTCTGGTCCATGCCCCCCATAAAGCAAAGCATAGTTTGTTCCAGTGAATAATAAAATGTGCCAATTTCTTCTCTCATCATTATCGGTGTGCTGGAAGCAATGCTGATTCTCAAAGCAACTTTATATATGCTATTATTTTGTTCCTTCTGTCAAATGAGACGATGAAACCAATGACGATGGCTTGCCTTGCCCAAAGTCACACAGTTAGTGGATGCAGAGGCGTGATTTAAATCCATGCCATCTGATTCCAGAGCTCCTACTCCTATCTCCTATTCATTGTGCTATCTGGAATGCCTTATCTGTTAAACTGTGATCCATTCTACTCTTGGATTTGACCCTTAAAATATCATTTGAGCAAGTCACAAATATTTAAAAAAGAAGTCTTTCGATAAATATTTATTGATGGCCTATTTTACTAGTTGATGGGAGTGTAAGGTAGATATGAGAACTGGACTTCTGGCAGTTTGTAGTCTAGTAGAGAAAATAAACATTAAATAAGCAATTGCAACTATGTGTGCCAAGTATGGAGTGTCTTAGGAAAACATAGAATGTGTCCAAGATTGAGACGTGAAGAATTTTAAAAGGATTCCTAGAGGAGGTGATGTCTGGCAATGTCATTGCAGCATTTCTTGCCTTATTATTGCTTCTTGGTAAACTGAAATTTATTTACTCATGGTACCTTTTAAACTTCATTTAGGCTTTTTTCCTAATACCAACAACAACATCATCAGTAATAAAAGCAAGTATTAGAACCACCACTCTTATTTATACGACTACTGTTATGCCCATTCCTACTTGCCTTCTCTGTGCCAAGTGCTCTGACACTTGACGGACTTCATCCCTTGCTCCTCACAATAATCCTTCAAGGTAGAAGTTATTTCCCAATCTGTACATGAGGAGATTAAAGGCAGAAAGCATAGTATTTCCATAATCACATAACTAGTACGGCAAGATTTAACTTGAGTCTGACTCCAAAGCTTGTGTGTGTGTGGTTTCTCTATACCAGTGATTCTCAACCAGGGGTGATTTTAACCTGCCCTCTCCACCCTCCCCCACACACACACACACACACACACACACACACACACACACACACACACACACACACACACTCCCAGGGGCCATTGGGCAGTGTCTGGAGACATTTTTTGATTGTCACAACTGGGGAAAGGGCAAATGGTACTGGCATGTGGTGGGTAGAGGCCAGGGATGCTGCTAAACACCCTACACTGGTCAGGGCAGACCCCACGACAAAGAATGACTCAGCCTGAAAAGTCCGTGCTGAGGATGAGGAGCTCGACTCTCACCCGAAACATCTCCACGAATGTTACTTCCCTTCATCAGTTCAGTTGATTTCTGTAGAAGCCAAAAAACAGCTCAACATAAGGCTTTGCTATCATATAAGGACTATGTCAACATATATTTTGGGAAATGAACTCTTCAGTGAAAGTAGTCGTGAGGTAAGGAAACAAGTGAAGCTGAGGAGCAGGTAGGAAGGATGATTCCCACGCCGTGTGTGGCGGTGAGTCCGGCCACACCTGTCTCTTCAGCATGTCACGCACAACCTGCCTCCATACCGTCGTTTGTGCATGTAGCTCGCGGAGTTTGGGGTGGCCTCCCCCGCCCGTCCGACCCAGACAATCCTACTCACGCGTCAAGCACTCGCTGCACACGTTACTTCCACTGTGGAAACTTTTCCAAACTTAACCCCACTCATTTGTTAGAAAAAAATAAATTCCTACCATGTGTTTCTACAATACTTTGCACCTATTTCAGTTTTCCCACCAAACCGTGTTCCCCTTCGTGTGCTCCCCATCCAGAGCCAGTCCTCAGTAAACCTGAGAATTCATTAAGATCATAAATTAACATGAAGGCTCAAAAACAAGGATTGCTAAATCTGGGTGAAGGGGGCTTTTAAAAATACGAGTCTGATTGTCTGGGGTGGGACGCGGGGGGTTACCTGGCACCCAGAGGAGACGGCCGCGGGGCGAGTTGGCAGTGGGCACATGGGTCAGAAGCAGTAATGACGTGCAACTGCCAAGTAGACAAATCAGACCAAACCAGAACTGTGCTGAGAAGGAGCCAGGCGCAAGCTCAGGCCAAGAGCCGGGGGCAGGAGGGAGCATATCCAACCAGAAAGCGAAGATGGGCCCAAAGAGGCAGATGGTCTGTGAGGAATGGAGGGGGATTAGAGGAGCAGATAAAGTCATGCGGGGAATCTGGAAGGAGAAAAGCAGTGTCAGTGCCTGAGCAGATAGAGCAAGGACAGTTCTGGGTGTTTCTGGATGCAGATCAGAAGTGGGGAGGAGGACTTCATTAATGTGATTTTGAGTTTATCGGTTTAAGTTGAGGGTTACTTTAATGAGAACCACCGCGTCTGAGAACTAAGCAGCTGCAGGAGCTGTGGTAAGGAGCAGAGAGGAGATGCGGGGGAAGAAGAGCTTTTGGGTTTCCTGTTCCCAGGCCCCTCGGCTTTCTTGGAGATCTCTGCTTGTCTGGACTGCAAAGGACTGGCCTTAGCTGAGACACCAGTTTTTTCTCTGTGGTCAAAAAGTTGGGAGTAATTTGGGCCTTGGGGCTATAGCCAGCTCCCCCTGTCCTACCCTTCTCTACATCTTGTGTCACACAACTCAGGATACACAGTTGTGAACCTACCCGGAAATGGTAACAGTTTTCATTGGATACGAATGCTTCAGTATGGATAATGAGTGGTCATAGTCTTTTGAACTAAAAGGTTGCTCAAAGATTTTCTGCACCAGATTCTTCAATTTGCAGGTGAGAAAACTGAGGCCTAGAAAAACAGTCCTCCAAGGTCACCCCAGCAAACTATAGTCAGAATTGAAGTTCGAGACTGGGCGTCCTCATGCATGAGCCAGGGCCCTTGCCCCCAGTATGTTGCACCATCTCCAAATTCGGGAAAGGGAATGACTCCAGATGCCTGGGGCTCTGCCAGTCGTGAGGAATACGATCAGGCGCAGTAGACCAGGCTAGTTATTTTTTGACTGTGTGGTAGGGAGATAGGAAATATTAGAGTTGATAGTAATTTTGTTGATTCATGTGGATATTAATCTCATTTGTGTAGTGACTTGCCATCTTCAAACCATCACAAGGTATTTTTAGTATTTTTACCTCCTGTAATGGTTGAATAAACTGACACTCCAGGGGGCAAAGGGATTTGCCTAGAAAGTTACAGGATCAGGAAGGGTTGGACCAAGACCCCAACCCTGATCTGTGTGTCGCTCCCCAAGACTTCACATGTGCTTTGGTGCAGCCTTTGTGTCAAACCACTGAACCAGTGCTACCTAGTAACTGGAGCAGATGTCTCCACCTGGTAGGAGTTCCTGTGCCCAGAGCCCCTGATTTGAAGCAAATCTCTGACAAACTCATCAGCCTTAGCACTTTATCTGGTATTTAGAGGGACTTTTTAACCAGAAGGGTTTACCCATTCTCTCATATATTTGCCTATGACTGAAAAGATGAGCTGCCCTTCTCCTTTGCTGAGCTTGGGAATGAAAACAAAAACACACAGACTAACCCAGCCCCAGGTTCTGATAACTGCCAACCACCTGTTAGGGGGACTTCCCAATCCAAGTTCAAAAGGTAGAAGACTACCGGAAAAGTGTTTGTTTGGGGGCCCAGAGTCTAATATTGCACTTGCGTCACTGGCTACAAGAGTAGGCTAACCCCGAAGGGCCACTGTTTTTCATGGCACAGAAACTCGACACATGGTGCTTCATTTCACATCCATATAATATCCATGAGCACTAACGTTTACTTTGGGGCTTGCACATCAGCAGCTGTTGGTGGGAAAATGCACATTTCTAGTTATCACCCCTTGGCGGCAGCCTCACATCTCAACGGCTGGCTGCTTCCTTATCTCTCCATAGGCCTGGGTAATTTCCTTGTTTCCCATTTTCTCGTCACTGTGCATTCATATAAGTCATTAGAAAGAGCAAAGAGAAATACTGTTTTTGATTTCCCCATGCTGAGGTCTTAGGAATGTTCTCATGGCACACTGCAGCCAGTGTAGATGTCTGGAGAAGCTAAAAAAATTTGTGGAATATAGAAAAATTGCACTAGCCTCCAATTGTATCATTCAGCAGTGTCACCCCCACCCCAACTTTCCATAATTCTAATCATTATCATGTTCCGCGCTATGACTCTCATGTGAGAATTTGGCTTCTGAAAACAATGAAAATGAAAAATCTTAAGGAAACAGCACAGCAGTTAAGAACATATAACTGATTCAAATCCTGGTTCCAGTTGGGAAGTCGCCTGACACTCCGTGCCTCAGTTTCTCCATCTCTGAAATAAGAATAGTCCATAGTATCTGCCTTAGAGTTGTTTGGAGAATAAATGAGCTCTTATCTGTAAAGCACTTAGAACACTGTCTGGCAGTGGTGTGTATGTTTAGCTATGATTAATGTGATATCAGCAGATTTACATTATGAATGATAGCAGTAGACAAGAGACATTCAAAGATTCATTCCATTATATAACACATAGGTGATGTCTTCGTTTTATGTGCCAGGCATTGTTATAGACGTGTCGGATATCATCATGAACAAAGAAAAGATCCTACCCTAACAGAGCTTCTCTCCTGCTGGGGGAATCCATAAGCTCCCATATAAACACGTGTATATGTTTTTATGCACACTTTATGATGCATGTATAAATGCAGGTATGTACGCACATATGCATGCAGGTGAGCATCAAGAAAACAAAAGTCATGACTGCAGAACACATAAACGATTTTAGCATAGACAATGAAGACATTGAAATTATTAAAGATATCACTTACCTCGGTTCCGTCACCGATTCAAAAGGAGAGAGTCGCCAAGAAATCAAGAGAAGGCTGAGACTCGGTCGGGCAGCAGTGGAAATACCAGGAACGCTCAGCAGAAGCAAAGATGTGTTATTAGAGACCAACGCTAAGATCATCCACACCCTCGTATTCCCCGTCACTATCTGTGATGTGCAAGTTGGCCAGTAAAGAAGGTCAATAGGGACAAAATGGATTTCATCTGAAATACGGTGCTGGAGGAGAGCTCTCGACAGATACCCCGGACTGCCAGAGAGACAGACAAGTGGATTCCAGAGCAAACTAAGCCTGAAACATCACTGGAGGCAAAAACGACAAAGCTGAAGCTGTCCTACTTCAGGCCCATCATGAGAGGGCAGGGTTCTTTGGAAAAGACAATCATGCTGGGAAAATAGAAGGGAGCAGGAAGAGAGGAAGCACGAAGGTGAGACGGAGTAACTTTGTAAAGGAATCCGTAAGTGCGCTGATCTGGAACACGAGTTAGGCGCCACCTGAATATTTACCTAGAAAATACTTGATGTGGACAACAAGCTTATGGCTGGCTACATTCTTACCACCTCCATTTACAGATAAGAGTGAGACTTACCTAGACTCGGGCAGCGCGTGTGATGGAGTGGAGAGAGGAAGCTCGCTCTGCCTGACTCCAGGCCTCTCCCTCTTACTTACATAGCTTCACCAAGCCCTTGGTCACCGAGTCAGCCTTAGATGATTTCATTAAAAAGGTTCAAAAACGGGAAACATGGAGAATCTTTGAATCCCACGTTCAGGTCTAGAGACAGCTGAAGTCTTATATTTTGTTTAAAGAGAATGTGTTAGGCTGTTGATCTGTACTGTTACAGGTTCCTGAGGTGAATTTAGCCTAGAGAGTTAAAGTGTACCAGTGTGTAAAGTGTACCAGTGTGTAAAGTGTACCAGTGTGTAAAGTGTGACTCACCACTGTGAAAACCTAAGCGGGGGACTCTCCTACCAGTATCAGTAAGATGGGTGAAAACTTGACACGCCATTTCTATTTAGGCCTTTCACAGCTGCAAGTTGTAAAGAAAACCCCGCACAATTCAATTCTGTGAACTATGTCACATGTGCCGGAACACTGTGGCTCTTGTGCTCACATTGTCGGCTTTCCTGTGGTGGAACATTATTGCCCAGCCTAATGCGGGGGGCCTAAGAGTTCTCTCCCGTGAGCCCGGCTCTATCATGTAATAACACTCAAACATTTAAATATATGATTACATTTTCGTCTCCCCCACTTAGGCTGTGAGCTTTCTGTGGGCAGTGGAATCTGGTCCTAGTCATCTGTGTAACTTCAGACCCCAGCGCTTCATCCAATAAATATATGCATTAGTTAATGGTTTTGTGTAGAAACAGTATGCTAAGTACTATATCAGTTGCTGTGGCAAAGACAGTAATACAAAGACACAGAGATTCAACTAAGTTCTATAGGAATCTGAAAGAGGGAGCAGCCTCAGTTGAAACAGGGAGACAAAGGAAGGACAAGGATGCTACTATTCACCGTGTAACTTCGACAGGACAGAAATGTGCTTGATGGTCTGTACGTATCATCTTCAGAGCAGGGCGCTCAAGGTCACACAACTGGTGACAACCCGGAGAACATCAACTCCCATGGTCCTTCAGGGTAGTGGGAGGGGTAGCCTTCGAACTGAACCCAGGATAAGAGGTATTTTCTCCACTGCAAGCAGTGAAATGTAGAGTGTTTTGATGGAGAAAATAACTTAAGTGAAGGCACGAAAATGGGCTTGGGAAATGAACAACATTTCACCTTGGCCCAAACCTGTGGTACCTGTAAGGGATTCCTGGAAGAGGAGGCTGTGAAGATCAAATAGGTGGGGACGGAATAACAGTACTTGGGTGCGATGTTGAAAAGTTTGGGCTTCCTTCTCTCCCCCTTAGGCATTGGCAAGCCACTGAAGGTGGTTGTGAGCCAGAGACTCATTCCAAGCGGGGCTTGATGTAATTTTATACACGGTAGTTTGGGGAGAGGAAAGAATGAAGGAGAAGGGGTAGCCTGAAATAGGGTTGTGGCAACGGGCCTTGAAAGGAAGGGAATTTGAAAAGAAGACAGGAAATTTGACAACTTTTTTTTTTTTCTAAACCCATTGATGAGGCAAGAGTTGTTTAAAATTTTGGATGCTCTTTATATTTCTCCTAGCTATTGCTAAATTAAGTGTATGAAAGTATCTTTTTTTAATTTCAAAAAGATTTACTCTCCTATTTGGCAGAAGATAATAAATAACTTGTTAACATCGAGGCAGTCAGGGTAACTCATCCAATTTCTAAGCTGGGCATTCATTAAAACCTACTGTCTTTTAGTTCACTGGAGATACCTAGTGAACGCATTCATTTAAAGCAGCACTCCGGATCCTGAAGTTAAATAAGCAAAACAAAATCCCCCTTGGAGGCTGGGACTGGCACAGAGAAAGGAGAGTCAAAGCCCCGCCAGGGCTGCTGCCCTCAGACGGTGGGTGTCAAGAGCAGGTGCAGAGGGCGAACAGGAGGGCTGGGCCTTGATCTCCGCTGAAGCAGAGATGGCGTTTCAACTGCAGTTTTTGAAAAATGCCAGTGTATTCCTCCTGGGATTTTCTGTAATTCATTTTTGCTCTCATCTTGCACAGTGTTTATTTACCTAAGCCTTTGTTCTCCTTGAAACTATTTCAGCCACATGTCATTCATTGTATTAAAACCCTGGGCCCTTTATTCTGCTTGGGTTTTTTTGTTGTTGTTGTTCCTCTCTCCAGCTGCTCTACATATCACTTAATTCTCTGACTCTGGCCTGACTCTTACCCTGTGGTGGGAGTCACCTTACACTTCCACCCCTACTCTCCTGGGAATGGGATGGGGGAGTCAGATCAGGATCCAGCTTCAGGATCTATTTTTCTTTTCTGTCTCCGTGTTGTCTGAAGCTGGGGGCAAGGTTAGATTAATCAGTCTAGGTGTGGTAGAGGCCCCGTGACCCCCCCCCCCCCCCCCACCGGGGAAATCCTAGCCCCATAGAAACTTGGCCTGGTTTTGGCTCTCAGAGTGAATTCCAGGCTTTGAAGAATCTGTCAATGTTCAACTAACCCTAACAAAACCTCTGGAAGTTTTTGATAGAACCGAAACTCACACCAAGGGAGGAGGTGCAGAGCTTGGCATCGGAGGCTGGGGAGAGGAAACTGGCCTGCCAACGAAGATCTTTTTCTCTGAAATTTCAGGCCTCTCTTCCCTTAGTTTCAGTGTCTGAAAGAGGCCGTCTGAGCAAGTAACCTGTCCTCCCTGGCATCTTCCAGAAGCATTTCACTGGTCTGCTCTCTGTTCTGGAGGGGATTGTCAGGGCTGCTAGTTCCTACCTCCAAGGCTCAAGGAGCCCTCAGATCATTTTATAAATGAAACCATTTGTCCAGGGACAAGACAAAGTTGCTGAAGGAAACCTAGTCCTGTTATCTGCCCAGGAGAAATTGGACACTAACATTTATTTAGCAACTCCTGTATCTCAGGCACAGGGCTACTTGTCTTCCCCGTAAGCCATTCCAGTTTGCTCATGACTTGGAGGGGGTGGCCCCTGGGACACTGGGTGTCCAGTGCTAACACCAGGAATAATGACCCTGTAAAGTAGATGCTGTTATTCTCACCACAGGAGAAGAGTGAGGTGCAAAGAGGCAAGTTAGTTTATAGAAGGTTGTACAGCACCTTTGTGGTGCTGCTGGGGGTCAAACAGAGATCTGTCCGTCCTCAGACCCAGAGAGGTTCACCATCCAAGTTCTTTAGAAGACAAGGCTCTGTCTCCTTCACGTTGTGTAGCCCAGCAACCCTGCAGCATCCCATTACATCTCTCTCCTGGGTCTTTTGACTCAAGGTTTAACTGAAATGCCTTTCCCTCCCTCTCCCCTGCTGACTGACACAACTTCTGCCTCACCTCCTTCAGGAGACCTTCCCTGACCATCCAAGACCAGGGGTCAGGGCTCCATGCTTTCATTACATTTATTTCTATCTGAGTCACTCTTCTATACTATCTTATAAGTGTCTGCCTGTACATCTTTCTACCCTGACTAAACTGAGATCTTGTAGAATGAAGGAAAACTAGTTCCATCTTTAGATTTCTAGCACCTAACACAGTACCTGGTTTGTAATTGGGGATCAGTATATAGCTGTTGAATTGATTTGTAAAATATCAGAAGGCAGCTGTGTGATTTAGAGTCAAAGTTTTAGATCTCGTTAAGGATTAAGTCCATCGGATGCATTTGTGGTACTGGGGCCAGTTCTTTTAATTTTGGTTTCTTTATTTTAGAAAGTAAGTCATTTTTATGGGTTAGCTTGGTTGCTTGGATTGGATTTCAACATGAGCCTTTATATGTCTAATGCCTGTGAGCAAAAAAAAAAAATGTCTTTTATGAGGTCATAGATGAGACTGTCCAAGTAATCTGGAGGCTGTGTTGAGGTTAGGAAAAAAGGAATTTCTGAAATCAAGTTTTTGCTTTGTCTTTCTATGGATTTTGCTAGTATTCCCTAAGTCTCAGATTTTCGAGCAATTACACATTAGCCTACTTTGAGATTTGATCTTTCTGGGTAGAAGGGAGGAACAGAGGAGTCAGACCCAGTTGTTGAGTGTCTATGCTTTGTTCTCTGGCTCTCCCAAGGCTCTTGTGTTGGTTTCTAATTGGTGTAAGTCATGGAAGAGTGTGACATTTAGACAGAAATGACAAATGCCATCACCAAGTTGAACTGCAGTATGAATGGTGCTGTATGTGATCGTGGCTCTTAGAGATATAAACAGCTTATGGTTTATTCTCAGTAATGTTTAAAATGTTAGCTTGACTGTTACTACTACCTAGTACCTCATGTTTCTTATCCCCCTGGGCCTTCCATTATTCTGTTATCAGTTGTATACTCAAGGACAGAAAACAAATGTTCCAGTCAGTCTCACTAAATCCAAATAACCCTGGTGCAGCATGCACCATGTTAGAAGGGAGTGCCTGAACTCTCATGCCAAGCCTTGCTATTAACACCAAAGCTGAGAGTTGTCAGTAGTAACAATGGCAAAAATATATTGAGTAAACTATGATCCAGGCACTGTCCTACTCACTCAATCTTCACAATAGCCCTAGAAGCTACACACTATGATCACTCCAATTTTATAGATCAGGGAACTGAGGCCAGACTTGAAATCAGGCAGTCCATTTTTAGAGCCCTCGTTCTTAACTGTTACACCCTAACTAGTTCAAGTATCTAGTAAAAGTTTTTGACATCTCACTTAGACAAAGACCTTCCCTGTTATCTGCCTGGCTCTGGGGAAAGTGGATTGTGGGGGAGGGGGAGGTTGGTA